GGGGGGTCGGCGTTTGTTATCACATGGCTTCTTCAATCTAGCAAATCTTGAACCGAATATTCATCCTTTATTTATGTATATACACTTCTCGAACTGGATAAAGTCTTTGGTTTAGTTAGGTTATGTGTGCTCCTTCCAAGACCCCGTTTCGCTTTCGACTAATGCGGTGCGTTCGGGGACAGCTTTTCCTACAATTTTTTTTTAAAAAAAATATTTCTTGGATAAGTAGTAGTAATAGTAGTATTTGTATACGTCGGGCGGATATCTAAAGCGTAATGCTTAGACCCTGAGACCTCTTATAAGGTACGGCGACATGTTAAGTAAGAGAATTATACAAAACTTCGACACATGTATATATATATTCACTTCCCTACCTTAGCACAGCCCTCAAAGCTCACATACACTACGATTCTGAGTGTACATGTAAGGACATATATAAAAGAAGAGTCCATGAACGAGGTCAGTTACTGTAGAGAAAGATCACTTTGGCCAAGGTTATTTGTTTTTATATTATACCTCTCTCTCTCTCAAGTCTTTTGACGTTTCTTCTTGGAAGGATTCCGGCCGCCAAGATTCGACACAGCATTAACATCATGTAACGCGCCCTGCAGCTGCGCTTTCGCAGCTTCGGCATCGTCTTCCTCTTCAGCATCGTCCTCTTTTTCATCTGGCCCGGCTTCACTGTCCTCATCCTCCGAGTCGAGCCCGAAGGCTTGATCGACGTCGCCGACGACATCATCTAGCGCAGCACCACCTTCGTCATCATCATCGCTAAAGCCTTTAAATTCTTCCTCGCCGTCGAGGTCTAGTACCGATGTGTCTGGGTCCAAGGCATCCGCAACGGATTCATCCTCACGCTTGCGCTTCTTGCCCATCTCGCCGAGTCTTCCGGCGCGGCCTTCGATACCCTTCTCTGCTTCGGTGCCCTCGAGAAGAGGCGGAGGTGTGAACCATGGAATCTTGCCTCGCAGGAAATCATTCAGCACCATCTTGGCAACACCATCGACATCTGGCTCTCCACCATGTAGCAGCCTTCCGCCTTTCCGTGCAAGTAGTTCCAGAAATTCAATATGCCCGTTATATCCTTTCAATTGGTATGTTCGCTCAATATGCTGTGGTTTTGTCTTACTTAGGACAGCTGGGATGTACTGCTCCGGATGCTCGACATTTTCTACTCTTACAACTCCACGGAGCAAGATATCCTGAGGCGTGTCTGTGCTGCTTGGAGGGACAACACCGGGACAGTCGATGAGGTAGATTCTCTTCATCAGTGTAATGTATTGCCATACTTTGGTCTCACCTGGAATCGGAGCAACTGTACAGACCTTCTTCTTGCGGAGTGTATTGATAATGGATGACTTTCCAGTATTGGGATATCCGATGAAGCCTACCGAGATTTGTTTGCGGTCGGAGTGCAGGGATGAGAATTGGCGCAGAAGTTGGATGAGAGATCCTTTGCCGAAGGAATTGGTTATGGAGGCGTGGAATGCAAGTGTGGGGTAATCTTTCGAGAGGTGCCTCACCCATGCGGCCTGAACTTGTCAGCAAATGAACGTGTAAGCAGATTGTGGTTTTTTTTGGTGAGATGTATGAATCATTACTAAGAAAGCCACTACTAGCCACTACTGAAAGCGGTAGTGGCCTTCAACTCAAACGAAACAGGACCAAACTCTTTGCGACAGACTCTCCAAGACGGTGAGCTGTCTACTCAAGATCCAAGGACCAAGAGCGGCGAGGATGGAGTCAATCTACCAAAGTTGTAACAGACAATCTTCCATTGCGGTTTGCAAGCGAAATGCAGAAGGCGCCTTGACTTAACGATGGAACTGGGAAGGGGAGGGAAAAGGGAAGAAAGGTATAGAGGTTGAGCTTACAGCTACGCCGGTAGGGACCAAGTCGCACTTGTTCAAAACGAAAATCAAGTGCTTATGGGGCGCCTCTTCTTTGATGTACTTCTCCACACTTCGACATCTCGTGCCGATGGGGTCTCTGGCGTCCAGGACGTGGATGACAACATCTGAGGAATCAATGACCTTGTAGAGCTCGTTCCATATGCGCTTGCTTTGACCCTTGTTGAAGATAGCTTCTTTCGCGCTCGAGGCATATCCGTGGTCTGGGATCGCCGACTCTCCAATTGCTTCTCTGTCCTCCATCGAGTTTCCACTCAACAAGTGGGCTTGCTCGAGGCGTTCTAGGTATATGTCGTGGTTGGCTACGCTTTGCTCTGCTAGGTCTTCCAAAGAGCTGACACCAATCTTGACCCTCTTTCTTTGCGCATGGGGACCAAACACATCGCTAAACGGGGAAGCCTCGACAGTCATCTTGGCTTGGTGTTGCTTGATACCATTCTTTCCCTCGCCGTCTCGAATCAAGCTCATGGGAAGCTTGTTCGATTTGAGGAGGACAGAGTATGGATCGGAAGCGCGCTCGGCCATGGCCTCTCGGAAGGAGTTGAGAGCATCCTGGCCAATGACTCGCGAGTTTGTAAACCACTTACGATTCGGCTTTGAAAAATCAGCCAAGACTCTGCAGCTCCTGTCGTAGATGCAAGGATATATCTAGGTGTAGATAGTGACCAGTGTGACATACCTCAATTCTTGCGACGGGAACAGATTTGCTCTGGAATTTAGCGGCTTGTGTCAATTCTCCGGCGGCATTATGTTTACCCGTACCGGTATCGTTCATAGTCTTCAGAAGTTTCGCCTTCTTCGCAGAGCTGATTGAGACAGTCAGCTTTGGGCTCAGTGGATAAGCTCTGCCCGAACTTCGAGATGAGGCGCGACGGTGAGCAAACATGGAATCAAGATTGATAACGTACCGATAGAAGTTCTCTCCTTTGACTTTCACCTAATTTGCAAGTCAGGATTGCTCCAATGGCGGGTATATATAACGGTGGGACATGGTAGGGAGACATTGGAAGGCAGTGAGGGCACCCGGAGTCATCGATGCAACTCATGAGATTCTTCAAAGCCGGGCTGGGACGCAACACAAACATACATTGGCCATGCCGTCACCAGGCGCCTTCGCCTTCCTGTTTGCCTCCTTCTTGCCCTGACCCATGGCTGCGGCTTTGAGGTGTGGTGGTGACGGTGAGGGTTTTGGGAGGAAAGAAGATGATGAAGCCGCGATAATTTTGAGCGTCGGCAAAAAAGAAAAAAGTTGGCGAGGCTAGATGGCGCTAAGCCAAACGCGCCCAAGCGTTGGATGTGAGTGAGCCAGCGCCACAAGTGGCTGAAGCTGTGGCTTGAAGTGCAAGAACGCTAAAGATTTGTACCAAGTCTGATATCGAGCTTCAAGATATCGACGGCAACAACAAGTCCAGCTCTCCTTTCCATCTACCCGAGGCCTGCCCGGGTGTCCTGCAGCCATGCCTCCCTCACTATCCAGGACATCGCTCAGCGCATTGAACAGGCATGTATGTCCCTCTGCCTCAACTCCTATCCGGTCCTTCTCGACAACACCCTCGCTCGCCCTCCTAGGACCAGAAAGCCCTGGCTTTATCGAGATTCCAAAACCACCCCAGCACCAAGCCCGCCCCAAACTCGATGTGAAGGGCATCATTCCTCCTCCTCGAAACATCTTCCCTCGCCGCGCTGGCGACAAGACTTCCCCCCAGTACCTGGCGGCTGTCACCCCTGAGCCTACATCACAGTCCGAACCCGCGAACGAGTTCGTAGCATGGAAGCGCCGCATGGCAGCGTCGAGGCGGACGAACCTGCGAGAGGGGTTAGTCGAGTTGTACAAGCGGAAGAAGGTGCACGATGCGATCGCTGCGGGGGTTAGCAAGAGCAAGAGCAAATTTCGAGAGCAGGCGCTGCATGCTCCCCAACGCGAGGATGAACGTCTCACAAACCCCACGATCAAGCAGGCGAACCGAATCCTGCAGTCTGGACCGGTGCCAGATCCGCAGCGCGAGATGCGGGTCGCGGAGAAGAAGGCTCGGGTACGGGCGAAGGAACAGCTGAGGCAGGAGGAGCGACGGGATGCTCTGCACACTCTGTATATGAATGCGCGGAACTTCATTACGACGGAGGAACAGCTGGATGCCAAGATTGAGGAGATCTTTGTTCGGGATCCGCATGCACCGCACAATTTGGATGACAATATCTGGAATGTGCTGAAGGCACCACCAACCGTGATGGATCTGTTGTCGGTTGTGAATGGCACTCAAAAGACGATTGTCAAGTTCCATGAGCCTCCCTCTGCCAGAACTGGAATTAGGATGAAAAAGATTGCGGAGGAGCTGACCGGAGGAAAGATGGAATGAGGGATAAAGTGGGAATGAATATGTACGAACATGTATAGGCATCTGCATCCATCGCCTCTCGTGGCACAATTGTATTCCTCTGTATTTCAAAAGATCTCATGCTCGAGATCCACTCTGGCTAAGTACTTCGTAAGCTCCTCGACCACCGAAAAAGCAGCCAAGTGGTAAGGTACCTTACTGACTTCTTTTCCTTGAAGATAGTTTTCAATCTCCAAGCCGCCGTGGGGAAAATACTTTCAGCGGTCTAGATAAAATCGCATGCCATCTTCTGCATTACGAGCATCCAGTGCAATATTTTCTTCCTATATCTCACAAGTCACGACAATAATTAAGAGGACCTAAGTCTCGCATGGCAATTGACAACCTGTCAGAAATCCTAGTCCCAGCCCACCTTATAAAAAAGATATCTCGAGAAAACCCGTCGACAGCTTGGCTTATTGGCGCACGGTTATACGTATTCCAGCAATCATAGAAACAATAAGTGGAACAAAAACAACAAAATATGCAAAATTACCCAAGATAAATGAATGCAATTTGATCTCCTTGCCTTGCTTTGTCTATTGTGAAGAAGGAAGAGGCTTCTGCTGTTCAGGCCGACATTGATAAACTCTGGGTGTTTTGAATTGCTGTAGTACTGTATTTAAGAACGTCTCGGAGACAATGAAATGGTAAATAATATCGAGCAAGCGAATCTCGTCGTCCCGGATAGGATATTTTGGTCGTTTTGTTGCGAGATGGGAACAGGGGAGAATAGGTAAGGGGTATGAAAGGGAAACTACTAAAAGTAAACAGAAGAGCTCGTCTCGGCCCCTGTTTTCTCGAAGTTGCTTTTTACCGAGCCGAGCCGAGCCTGTTTCCAAACAACGTCAGCAACAACAGCAGCACACGTTACTGAAGAGCCAAGATCCAACAGATGCAGGTGGACACTAGTGAAAGTCACGAGCCTGGTCATTGGAGGCAATCCGAGAATCCAGAAAGACATCAATTTACATGCAATAACATAAATGAAAATCATATTGTGAACACCCATGCAGTTATCCATCCATTCCATCTAAATATCCTCCCTCGCCACACGTCGAGACTGTCTTCAATAATGCCTCTAGTCTAGCAGCATCCATCCACCTTGTGCTATCGGGATACACCAGCCTGTTCTCCTTACACCATACAGTAACCTACAGAGTAAATAGGCTTTACAAACATCGACCCAGCCATTCTTTCACCGCTGACAGATATCTTTGAATCTATCGCCAGAAATCAAACCCTTTCGATACATACAGCATACGCCTTCTCCACCCTAACACCTACCTTCATATCTATGTATGTATATACCCGACCATGAATCGCAGCAGAGGATTCCGAATAGTCTTTTCGATGTCCAGGAACCACTTCACTCGGCCATGTCCACTGACTGGCCGCGGTGATCCTCGGATCATATTATGGTTTATACTGGGCAGATTTATGTGTTCTTTTCCACCACGATTCACCACGACGCTCGGGGGTCGGGTCCTGGAGCGCTGGGTTGTGAATTGATGGTGGCAGTAGAACCAGTCGTGGTTTATGTCCCAGCACACGCGGTTTATTGCGTGCTAGAATTGCTGCTGGGTGAGCCCTGGGGATCTGCAGCTTCTCAGGCGTGGGTGGGGAGGGTTTGTTGAGAATTGGGATGGTGGGTGTGGGAGGAGCGAGGGCGATGAAGGGGACTGATGTTGGTCGGGTGAAAGCTGGTGATGGGCTGACGGTTTTATGCGCAGAATCGAGCCCTTCTGTTAGAGAGATGGGCTTTGGTTTATCTGTCTCATGTGGTGATTCTGAAGAGTCTCGGTTGACCTCTCGCATTTACTACCTTTGGAGGGCTTGGCGGAAGGACATCGTTCTGGTGTGACTTTTCTTTTATACGCGTTGCGGTTGTGGGAATCCGGTAGTTCTTGGTGAGAGGATGCAGGTAGAGGAAGACGTGCTGGGGCGGAGCTCTTCGTGCTTGGTGACTTCCATTCACGGGTCCGGATATGAAGATATACAGTCAAGCATGTTTGTAATTCGACTGTGATTGTCTTCTTGCTCGTTAATGGTTAGGATCCTGCCGACTCACATGTATATGACCTGCCAGGCCCAGCTCTATAAATTCTCGGCAGTCGACACAAATGCTGCCAGGTCCTCCAAAGCTCGAATAAACAACAAAACAGGTGAAGAGAAGGCCATCATGACTTCCAAACACAACAAGCCCCTACCCTTCGTTCTCCGCGCCCTCTGCCTCCAAGATGGAGAGCAGCCACTAAACGCGGACAGCCCGCCGACGATAACAGAGGTCACCCGTCTCAAAGACAAAAAATTCTGCATCATCCGCGCGATCCCATGGAACCCTCACAACCTCGACCCCGAGCTCTACGCCGGCCACCTCGAATACTGGGCCGCCACCTCTCCCGCCACGCCCACCACCTCGGGAGAGAGAACTTCCCCACGCATCAAAGAGCGTCTGCGCAACGTGGTCGAGCTCGACGACGCTGAAGTGGTAAAGCAGTTCCAACGCATCTACTCCGGAGACTTCCCGTGGGCTGATCTCAACACGCGGATCACGAGTGGGTTCAAGACCGGGGCGTTGAGCAAGGCGGACTTGGATTTTTGGGACAAGTCTGTTGAGGGTTATCAGGAGTATGACGAGGTGTCTGAGCAGAAGGGAAGTGTTACTGTCGCCAACGCCAGGGCGGCGGTGAATGATCTGTTGTTGTGGATGTTGGCTGTGGATTTAGTATGGGGGTTCGAAGGGAGTGATGGTATGTCGTAACCCGGCGGAGGAACGAGAGGAGCGGAATGCTTGCTGACTTGAGTATAGAGGTGCTGAAGAAGCTGGGCAAGAGGAACTTGACGCTGGGGTATTATATGGCGCCACTGTTGTATGAGGTTAAAGTCGTGGTGGATAATAGCGTGACGAGGTGGAGGAAGAATTGTTGGATTTGTGGGAGTATGTATCTTGAGGATGTTCATAATGTCGAGGCTGCTGGCGCGTGTTCGCGTGAGGAGAAGGGCGAGAAAAAATATTGAGAGGAGGGAGGATAGGACGAGGATGGAGCTCGAGAATCTGAGAATGAGTAGAGCGTAGAGAGTGGTGGGGACGGTGATTAGGAGAAGAATAAGTATGCTGCTAGAATACGATAGGCGCATGGTTTATTCGAAAATATAGGCCTGAATTATTCCAACTCACTCTCTTCGGGATCCTAGCTCTGCTAAGACTACTTTCAGATGCCAAGGACATACTGCAGAGTCTGACGAGTCTTCTCATCTTCGTAAAGCCTCGATTCCTGACGGAGCAATAAAGAAAACGACCTTGCAGACTTAAAATAGAGCCTTATATCCTCCTTTATACGCGCCTGAGTCCTGGCAAATCTTGTTTCAAGAATGCTTCTCCTGCCATCCTCCGAAGTTGCGTTTTTGGAACCCACACGTATGTTGTTGAGCTTTGATCATCGCAGCATTCGTGACCTCTGGAGGTGTTGGGGTATCTTATACACCATTTCGATGGTGGACCGGGACGCCAAACTGGGCTGAAGGTGACGAATATCAAGAAGGGTAGATATCCCCACGAGGAGGGTGAAATACCACGTAGATATCATCGACTTGTTGTCTCAGGAACTTGAATTGGTCGCGACCGAGGTTGGTTTGTCTCCGTCGTGGTTCAAAAATCCTGCACGGTTTCCGCGTTCCTATATCATCCTCCGGCCCATCGGCCCAGTCTCGTCTGAACTTAGAAGGTGAACATTCCATATCATTCCATCGCAAACACCCACCTCGCCTCGCTTCCGCAGCCTCGTCGGCAAAACCTTTTTCGGGGACTAATATAACAATACAACCGACTTTGCTGTCACTTAATATGTTCGGTCACTTGTTCGACCTCATGGGGCACTTGGGTGTTCGCACTCCCCCATGAACTTACTCGTGAAACGGTTACCGGCGGCCTTCGCAGTGAGTTGCCCACCCGGACTGGGAGTTGTGGTTTACCATACTCTAAGGACGACATGTTGAGTCCCCCGACCAAGATCCTCTTCTTCAGATTCGTTTACTTGACTATATGTCTTGAGGCTACTGGGCGGAGACTTGGGAAGAGATAACTTTTGTTTTTTGGGGTTTTTTGCGCTTTTTCAGGTCTTGCCGCGGCGCTTATTTTTGTTTTCGCCGTCGACGCGTTAAGCGAGAATTGTGGTGGCAGCCTCACCCTTCCCACCACTTTCCGAAGAGTGCCAAACATGAATGAAGCTTCAAGGTTCAGTTGAAGCTCCTCATTTGAAACAAACCCTACGCGCCGAGATTCCGGAGGCTATACACAATTTACAGACCTCGATGTAATATTTGTAGTTTCCCAAGCCGGTACGTGTTTTAAAAAATAAACAAGCAGACTTGTTGAAAGTAAACCATGCTGGGGGGAACTTCTTCTTTATGGCTCAAGCTCCGTAAAATACTTGATTGATGCATCGACTCTACGAAGTATTCATACGATGTGTATGAACTACACCATCAATCAGAAAACCAGATAATTCCATGACCGCCCCCCCCCAAAAAAAGAAAAAGAGAGGAAAACATCCGCAAGCGGCGATTATCCCCTAGGTCGGCCTGTAGACAGCATGCATTCTACGTGGAGTTACGCCTTCTGCAGATACATGGCTTAGATGGAGGAAGAAGGGGGTGTCAGCAAGCTGCTTCTTCACCAGGGCGAGGGCAGCTGTTAGTAGTGGCTGGGCTTTACTTAGATATACCCTCCTCCTCTTCCTCCTCCTCCATCTCTTGCTTTCTGCGAGCTAGATAGAACAGTATCTTCAGTTCTAATGTTCCGAAAACCCCTCCCGATCTACAAGCAGCTGATTAAAGAAGCTGAATTGGCTAGCGGCGACTTTTTCTATGGAAGTGATCAGTAATTAATGATGCAATTTCCAGGTTCTGCCCAGCGACGGAGTGTTACACATCTGTATTCTTCCCACATCTCTGTATCTAGGTCTTTGCAACGATACCTATGATGTTCTGCATGCTCTTTTCATCCCCAAGATTGATATAACATGCATGTAATCTCCTTCGGAGGTTCAATCCCTGTTAATTGATGACTCTGAAAGCCTTGAAAAATCTGGTCAGTATATATTCTCCTTCTGCTCGCTGACAGTAGACAGGAAGAGCAGTCATTGTGCCTGTCCCTGAGGTTTGGAAAAGGCTGATGTCAGGCATTAGGGTGTCCCATTTCTCTCGTGGGCGATGGTACGAGCAGCTAGCATCATTTTAAAGCTCTATTTGTTGGTAAAACAGCAGTGGCCACATCCCTCTAGCATGGGGTGGATATTCGGTCAGTGTATGCTATCCAGCTCCATTTTCCTCTTCTCCGGCCCCATTTTTGCGGAGAGGCAACGGAATACACTGGCTTCCAATTTTTTGTCTCTCCTTCTACAGAGCTGCGGAAGTGATATTACAGCAGCTGAGACTTCCAGAAAAATCCAGTGGCCAGCATTGCCACTTAACAATATCGTAGACTACACATTTGCACATCCTCCTTCTCTCTCCCTTCTTCCTAGATAAACGTAGATCTTTCTTCTGTCGCCGAGACTTTACGTTTATGCTTGATCTACAAGTAGCAGCCTCCTTGAATTCTGAAGGCAATGTAGCAGTAGTAGATTACATTGTGAAGACTCTAGGCAGCCCATTCTAGCTCTAGGAGACCGCACACAAGTAAATCCATACCTATCTTTACATCCATATCTTCAAATCAATTCAAACACGGCGTCTGTCTCGGTGAATTCACGGTTGCGCCAGATCAGGGATTTATAAGCAGCAAGCGTCTTCCTTTGTCTCTGAAAACGATCTAGCTTCTTTGAAGATGATCTAGTGTCTTTAAGGACGATCTAGCGGTAGCCTTGGGAAAGCTCGGACCATCCTATCTCAGCTTTAGGACGCGCCGACGCGGCAGAAAGCTTTCTCCCTCACTTCCTACTCGCGAAACAACTACCTCCACCACTTGAACTTTACTGCTGCCACAGCATCAGCAACTGCCTTCTTCTCTTGTGAGAATGGTTCATAGCAGCAGCTTACTCTCAGGAAGCTTTTCATTCAGCAGGAAACGCTGGGCTGGTTGCTGAACAGCAGAAAATAGTAAGTCCAATTGTGGTTTCCGATCCCCTCTCGCCAAGTCTGCCTTTTGACACTTCGCGTTTGCTGCTGCTCCAGAGGCAGAATCTACTCTCTGCGCTCTTAGAAATGGTACGCAGCAGTAGCTTACTCTCAGGAAGCTTTCTAACCAACAGGAAAGGCTGGAGTGGCTTCCAAAAAGCGGCAAATAGTAAGTTCATCTTCAACGTGGTTTTCCTTTGGCGACATCCTCTCTTACCCTCCCCCCCCTCCTCACGCCCCTCCAGCACTTTGCTTTGCTGTTGATATAGAAGCAGCAGCATGTCTATTTGCCTTTCAAAACGATTTGCAACAGCAGCTAACACCCGGGAAGCCCTTCAATCAACTGGAAATGGCCGGTCGATCTCTATACACAAGGCCGCACATGGTAAGTTCATCTCCTCCATCCTCATCTTCAGTTTCGCCTCTCTTTCATTACGCGAGCACAGCACACCTCCCTCCTTTCTAGGATTCCAGATGGAAATTTCAAGGCTTTACACGCTCCTTTCACCCTCAAACACAAGATGGAGTATCAGCTCACCTTCTAGAAGCTTGTGAATTAACAGAAATGGCAAGCTCGGACCCCGGGAGGCAGCCGCTAGTAAGTTCGTCCTCAGCTTCACTTCCCCTCCCCTTATATCTTTCCCCGACCACCACAAAGTCTCTCCCTTTCATCAACCCCAACATTCATCAGCCCCAGCTTCAAGTCTTGGAGGCTCTGACAACCTTTCTCATCTTCAAAGGCAGGGTCATAGCAGCAGCTAACCTTCAAGAAGCTCCAGCATTGGCCTGCTTCAATCAGTTGACTGTCGGTACTCCTCATCCCTCCCTTCCCTTCCCTCCCTTTCCTCTCCCTTCTCTTCCCTTTCCTTTCCCAAGATCAATCTGACACTGCTTTTCTTTCAACTCCGCGTCTGTCTCTAGCATTTGCGCTAGCAGCTCTGATGATGCCGATGCTCTCTTTGTCCTTCTAAACGAATTGCGACGAGCGACTGACATTCTAATAGTCTTCAATCACTTGCAATGGGCAGCAGGAGGCCGCGAGTCTGTAAGTCAGCTCTTCCTTTTCTTTCCATTTTCTTTCCTTTTTTCTCTAAGAGATCGATCTGGCACTGCTCTCCATTTAACTCCACGTCTCTGGCTTCTGCGCTGGCAGCTCTGATGATTCCGACGCTCCCTTCATCTTTCTAAACAAGTTGTGACAAGCAACTAACTTTTAAGAAGTCCTCGACCATTGGCAATGACCAGCAAAAGGCCGCAAATCAGTAAGTCTAACCCCCCCCCGGCCTCCTACATTCTCCGAACCTATCTTGCGTCTACTTCAATGCCCAGCTTCTCAATTTTGAAGACCAAGGCCAGCTTCCGATTCAATCTCTCCTTTTTCTTCAAGTCTCAAGAAAGTAAGCACCGCTGACATTTTCTTCTTCAATGTACAGATCGGACCCTTGGCTCTTCCTCCTCCTTCTTCGAAACACCTTCATCGACATCCTCCTTCGAACAAGAAACCATAGTTGCACCCTTTCTCTCGCGAAATTCGCTCTTATCTGGCGAAAGCTTATGTCGCACAACATTTTCTTCTCTGAAAACCACTCGATATCGCCTCTCCTCTCCGATCGTCCCAGCGGTCAACCTCATATCTCTTTGGCGACAACCACACACACACACACACATATACCGTGCAAAGGTTGAGCCGATATCCATATCTTTATCCAAATTTCACAGCAACATCCATATCTTCAACCAGCTTCCACACCAACATCCATATCTTTATCCAACATCCATATCCTTATCCAAGATCCAAATCTTTATCCAGCATCCAAACCGAAATCAATATCCTTATCCAACATTCAAAATACTTGTCCATCGACCACCATACTCCTCCCTCTCGTCTATCAATACACATATACATACATGTCCTTCTGTTTGGAAAACTTCCTACCGAGATTCGGGCTAAGACTATGCCTTTGTTTGGGAAACTTCCTAAGGTAAGAAGAGCCCTTTCATATACCTACTCCCCTCCAGACCAAACAATGTTGAGTCTCTCGCATCGCTAACTCTAAGCGCGTTGGCGGGAATAGCAACCCTTGTTGTGCCGTCCGCTCCAGGCGGCAAGAGCCCTATGGAACGGGAGATCGGTGCTGGCACCGGTACCGGAAGCCCTCCTCAAGCTCGACCGAGACTGGGGCCAGGCGAATGTCTTTGCTTGAGACACCGATCTCCCGGGGCTCGGCCCACCAATAACGACAAATCGAGCTCAACGGGAAGATAAAATCATCACGTCACCCTCTCCGTATCTCGAACGCAGGGGATGTAGTGCAGGAAGACGGTACCAAATTTCAGGACCTCACTGTCCTGTCTCTATGGTCAAGACCTCACTGTCTTGCTCCATATCTCAGGACCTCACTGTCCTGCCTCTATGGTCAGACCTCACTGTCCTGTCTCTATGGTCAAGACCTCACTGTCTTGCTCCATATCCCAGGACCTCACTGATATGTCTATATGGCCAGGACCTCAACTTCGACCTCAATCCCGGTGCTCCTTGAAATCTTGATGGGATCATGCAAGATGCCCTCCTTAAGATGAAAGACAAAGTCATCATGGAGCAGCCGACTCCAGCCAAGGGTTTCAGATACCCGAGACGGGCACCCCTTACGGCTGCCCAGCTGGTGCTATTTTCCTGTACGTTCCGGGCTCTTGCATATTCCCCATTTTTGGAACGTCGACTGACTTGCTGACTCTTAAAAGGGCAAAAGAACTGCATCCCAGACGGAGAGTTGATCTCCTTCGCCTGGTTTCTTGGACCGGAGGAGAGGGAATTGACATTGTATGATAGGAAGCTTGCAGATCTCGGGGCAGAACAGGTATCAAGATTACCCATCTTGCTGCCTGTGTGGCTGGGAAACCCGAAACCGGGTAATCGGCCACTCGGCCCCAGGTTGAATTCAAACTACTTATCTCGGAGAACCCATCGCCTATTCTACTAAAGTTCTCCTTGGAGAATCGACGAGTCCACGTTGGAAAATGCAGTGGATCTGAGGGGAGGCTTTAGACCCGGTGCTCTAGTAAAGGCACAGACATTAGAAAATGGTGGGCGGTGATGGAAAGATGCGTTGGAAAATGGGTCTGTGTTTGCTGAGAGTCGGTGTTTGTATTCTGTGTTTGTTAAGTGTATCTATTCAGTCTGTGTTTGTATTCCGTGTTTGTATCCTGTATCATTAGATAGCAATCCCAAACCTGTTAAACCCCAGCCGTCCTCGGGCGTGTCAGATATGGAAACCACATACAGTAAGTTTTGTGACATTTACTTCCCCCTCAAAATCTTTGTGTGTGCGTATATCTAACAAGTCTAGGGCAGCAGAGACTGATAAGAATGATTTCCAAAAGGCTTCTGATAGCCTACCCGAAAAAGTGGATGACCTCCACATTCGCTTGTGAGAGTCATTTGCCGAGAAAGAAGGGGGAAGGGGGCAAGATGCATATCCTCGTAGCTATGCAAAAGCTGATGCCGGAGAGAGAGGTACGCACATCCCAGAAGCGCAATGATAGGCCTAACCAGTAGTTTCGTCGGCTGATCATTCTCATTCGAGATTTAGAAGCGGGCATTGAGCTCTCTAACCTTTACTTTCAACTTCACCGAAGAGATATATGCGCCTACCGCGATCAGAGGTCGGGCTCCGCCAAAAAGAATGCCTCCCGGCCCGGCCGGAAAAGGTAAGAAGAGTGAAAAATTCCACCACTCCCAGACCTACACGGTTCTCAGGAATTTTCTGACTTTTCCCCAGGACCAGGAAGGTGTGGCCTCTGCGTTCCTGCAGGGAGAGATCAATCTCCTGGCAACTGCAGGCGCGAGGACGGGGACGGGGACTTGTTTGTTCCGCTGAGGCCGGGCCGTGCTCACATGTACTAGGCGCTTTACTTTGTTGCTCGGGCTTAGGTGTGTTTCTACTTGAATCCTCGCCGGCCGCGGGGCCTCTGGCCAGAAAGAAAATGGGGAGGTTTGGCTC